TTCAAGGAGGTAGCGGTGGTAGTCCCAAATCAGCACTTTTATTAAGTAATAAACAGAGGAGCTCGACTACCGTATCAGTGTGCCTTCATCACTTCCAATTCCGATGCTTTTTAATTAAGACGGGTGATGTAGGAAGGACTTACATCGGTGTGCGACCAATAGCTGTAGTCGAATTGGAAGGTTTTGCTTGTGGATTCCTCGGCATCTGCTTTGCATATCGCTGAAATCGTGTAAAAGTAGTGTCTGTCAGAGCAACTCAACAAAGGGGTGAAGCAAGCATCGACCTATTAAAGGAAGTTTAGCACTTTTTTATTTTCATGAGACCTAAATACTGGATGATTACTCTCAAATAACTGAATGGATGGATGAATAAGCGGGGCAATGGGCCAAACAATCAACCTGTGAGTGAAAGGGCGAGTGTCCAGTGACCATTAAAATGGGCAAAACTTATGCAAGGATGTGCCAGGTTGGACGGGGATCACTCAAACTCACTTGTTGTGTTTCCGGACATCGAGATGACTCGCTTTGAACGAAGACCCACTTCCCGTTTGTTGAAGGGCCTCACACGAACTGCAACCTTCACCGAGGACATAGTTGGATGGATGACAGTAGGATTCGTCTATTTAACTAAAATAACGGTAAATGTATATTATCCACTTCCAGTTTTTTTTTCAAGGGAATTTGTAAGGATTAAACCTAATGGGTGGTAAAAGCTGGTGGACTTATAATCCAACCAAGGTCATTGTTTTTGCTCGAAAATATCAGTTGTGATCCAAATGAAAGCAAAATAATGTGTTAATTTGCAAAAAAACTCGTATTTTATGCTGAAACCTACCTAACAGAGGATATTAAAAGTGGATCAGATCAAAATCTAGGGATTACTTTGTAATTATTGAGGTGAAGAAGCTAGCTACTTCCAGTGCCTAATCCGTACGGTAGGTGATTTAAACGCATCGGGCCACTGCTTTGAATGCCATCTCAGAAATTCAAAGACGTTAATTCTACAATCGTTTCCGCCGCACTTTCGTCTCCTTCGTATCGATGCTATGCCACGACTCACAGATCGTCTAGTCTTGAAAAGACCTCCAATACCAATTCAGAATCTAAATGAACATCTAATTAGGACTGCGTTCGGTACGACTCTTCTTCAGGATGTTAGTTAAAGCTAAATTGGGTGGCAAAATCCCACGATTCAAAAGTACCACAATTTACGAAGTGAAACGGAGCCCTGTCGCGAAAGTTCAAATCGTCTCTCCATAAAGCCTGTAGTTAGAGTTTGATAGCAGAAATACGACCAACGGAAGAGCGGCCATTTTTACGGGGGAAATAACATGGCCCAGCAGGGTATGTTTTTAGTCCCCAACTAAACCTGCTTACCAGGCACTAATTTGACCACCGTAGATGGCTGTCAACTGAGAGCGACAACGGTCGAAGTAATTAATGGGAAGGTTGTCAATCATTTAAGCCCAGTTCTCTCCTAGTGGATGATACTTGGAATCTAGCCAAAATGACATCCTTTTGATGCTGGGAGAGGTGTTGCGAAATTCCATAAACTTATATCAAATGATTTGGCAGATGTGTTTGCCTGTTGGGCGATGGAGCGAAATCTGCTGTGTGAATAGGGTAAAATTGCCTTTTTTCCTCATTCACTCCATCTCTGCATAACAGAATTATCTGCGAATCTGCATGCCTTTGTCAATAAATCAGAATGGCGCTTGGATACCATTTCAAGCGCAAAGTGCTTCGCAATTTCCTTCCGGTAACAAAAAAGGAAAGGCTTTTGACAGAGGCATCAAGTGTTTTTGAATAAGACTTCTTTGGATTCGTTGAAAGTTGACCAAGTATCACACCAGCGAGGACATCTACCTTAACCCTAAAGGCTTGAATGGCGTCTGTATTTGTGTGTGCATGTATGTGTTTGAAAATACAGCGATGGGAAGATTTTTTTCCCTCAGGTAACTCCTTATTCCTGTGCTTGAACTAACAGCAGTCCAGATGTGTCACTTTGCAAGGCAGTGTCAGCAATCATAGCCCTTTTAAGAAAACGTTAGCTACTATTTACATCTCTTGACGCAAAACCGTAGGATTGGCGCGTTTTTTGCCCAAAAATACCCTGTGCAACAGGTAGCCAATGAGATTTCTCTGTGCAGTAGTTTGCCTTGGCTACGTAGTCATTTATGAGATTTGGAAATTCCATATATTTAAGGCTAATTTTCTCTAAACCCAACTAGTAGTTCCTCAAAACTCATACACTTTAAATTGAGCTACTATTCAGAAAGGCAAGTTGGACAGCAGTTAGTATAAGGAATTTCTAGCAGTGATTACAGGCTTTCATTGGATGCTGCTAACATGTCTGCCTCCAGAGTTCCAGAGGAAGGTCGACCACCACTACACGACTGATCTCCCACCCTCATGCGACATCAAATGCCCAAAAAAATTTTTGACAGATGCGTTCATAACAAACTAAAGGTGATTCATAGATGAGTCCGTGTTCCTATCTGCCGTTTAGTTAAGAGAATGTTCGGTAAGGAACAGAGGAACAACATTTTTTAGTGCGCAAATAAAGCTTCTTATCTTTGTGATAAATTTTGTACAACTGTCAGCACTATCAGAGATGACCAATTCAATAGCTGCTAGAAAACGAAACATCCTAGACTGAGTATATCCACAGCCCAATCTTGTGCTTTAAAACCCCCGAGACTTAGTTGTAACACAGAATTCAGTGCAATTATCTCTTCCAAACCGGTAAAAGTTGGGTGTCACGTGTGCGTGTGTGATGTTGGTAGCTAGGGTGCTAATACGGGAGGCCACAATACCTTCGGCGTAGCCAATAATTGAAAGGGAATAGACAAAAAAGTGGAGAAAGAGAAACTCACAACTTTGAAAATCCCTCACGATCAACTGCCATCCCCACAGTGCCTGAAGGAAGGGCACCCACTACTGAAGTTGTGTATCAATTACTTCTACATTGTCCATATCGCGTCCAATCAAATTCTGCCCAGGAGAATGAACCAATGGTGTGATGAGAGTGGAGTAGGCTTTGGGCATAGGCCACGCTACCGACGCACTGGGGCAAAATTTTGCCTGCGTCAGTCTCCAAGATCCCACTCGACCAATGGTAAAATCGATGGAGGTAAAAAAGAAATTAAAATTCCACTACTCAAATTCAGTTCACAGCTCTATTTCCTCGGCTATGCAGTCAACACGCACATTTTGTCGCCTCGGAAGAAGTTTTTTTGGCAGTTTTGGCAATCGAAGTAACTGCTGTCGAAACCTTTTAGGAGGTTGTATTAGAGTGGGGAAGGAAAGTAGAGTGAAGCGCAAGTGCCCCGGGGCTTTACCCCCCGCCTTCCTCAAGACCTAACTTTCAGCCAACACAACGGTAGCAGAAAACAGAAAGGTTGCATCCTGGTCAAAGACATCCATCACCCTCCCTCTTACTGCCAGTTCTGGTACTGCTCAGCTATTTATAGCATCACTCAAAGGAAGGAGGATCCTAATTTTCATATTTTTGTCGCAAAACTAGAAAAGTTGGTGGCAAGGGGAATAATAGCCGCAAAGTGCTGGGGGTTAGGCTAAGTGATAAATTCAAAACTGTTGGTCTCAATCATGCTAGGCAATTAGACTTAACAATTATTAGAACTTAAAGTCCCAGATCTCTGGATGGGTGGAAAATTACTTGATTTCGCGGCTCGCAGCTGCAAAATGCTGAATGACTCATCACCACAATCGCACCGCGGAAGCTGCGTCCTACAGTTCATTCGTTTGACTAAACACCCCCACAGGTACATAAGGCCATTAGTTTTTCATATCTACACTAGAATATTTCCAGTAATTTATTTTATTTCTCTCACGTTACTAAGGGATAAAGCCCACTAAAAGAACTGGAAGAGCTATCAGAAATATTCCGAAATTTTGATGAATAAAAAACCCCTCGTACACCAATTTACTCAACCTCGTTATGACCCACTCACCTAACTCCGCCCACTTTAAATCATTTTCAGGCATTAAGATTACGAATATTGTTAGATCCACCCCCTGCAGTAGAAGAAGTACTCAATTAATGTCAGGTATTGTGCAGGGCGTGACCCATCGGTCTCCACTTCCCTGTTCTTAGCGTTCTTAGACGAGCCCGGATGATTCATTTTGGACATATTTATTAAAGAAGAAAAGATAGAGAGGGAAAGCACAACGTTTAAGAAGCAAAGAACCGCAGCCACTAGGTAGGGGGGAGGACCATCCGGTCACGAGATTCGAATTGCCTGATTGCTTCCTCCCTGGTAGGTACATCAAAACAACATAAGTATTACAATTGCTCTTCGCAGTCTAATAAAAATCAAACATTACTCGTTACAAAGCGGGATTTCGGAGGTATTTATGGTAATTTGTGGCTAGTAAATCAGTCGAGTAAGTTTAAGGAATAAACCAACACGATTGATTCGATAATCAATTAAGTTATTTCACTTATTCGTTCAAAATCTAGTGAATAAGACATATGAGCTCAATTATTTCAAGGAATGTAACTCACTGTTATTTCACTTAAATAACAATAAATTATTGATCGCTTTAATTATTGGAAATTAGTGGTTTCAGGTAGTTTTGTTATAATTTGTGCATACGACCTCAATTTGAACTAATCTGTCTGCGTCAAAAACTTTTTGAAGGGAATATCCAAATACATGCTTTAAATTACGTCAAGTACATGCCACAGTATCCGCTACAAAATTCCGCACGATCACCTCTGAGCTCACAGACACAAAACTACAGTCTATTTACACGAGTTTAAAAGATTTGGTTGGAAATCGGATTTAGTTTAAATTCCTAATTAACAGTAAATTGTATTTTGGAAGTTCAATGCATATGGTCTATGGTAAATATCTAGTAAAAGGCTGCTTTTTATTGGTTTGAACATGATGAGGCTACTACACCGCTATTGGTCAATGGAAGAGCCGAAAAGATGTGTCTTTGTAGTCTGCGCTGTTATTACTGGTTTCTGTCATTTCTCTGAGACACCATGGAGGGTCGGTGTCACGTAGATTTTAATTCCGAAGCCATTGAGACTGTATTGGATACCACGAGGTTGCTCGACGAGATTGAAGAGCTCGAGGCCCGTCTAAATTTGCCCCTCTCCTTAAAACTATCTCGAAGCCCACTAGGTACTTCACTCGTACTCCAATTTTTTGCATCTTTTGACATTCCTAACCATTTGCTTGATGCCGAACCACTCGGCATTAATTTGAAGTTTTGCGATCAATCTTTTTGATTTACTCAATCCAGCAATTTGCGTTTTATTCAGTAATGCATTTTATACGATGCATTTTATATTTTATTCTTTCTTGCAGTGCAGTCATTAGCTGCGGATGCGTGGCATTTAAGAACATCAAAACAATCGGTTTTTTCGGTAAGTTTGACTAATTTAATGTTGAAACTAATCTACTACCAATGTTTTCTACAAACAGAAAGATCCTACTCCGCCAGATTCTTCCTGTTTCACCAAAACGGAAGCAATGACAAGTCAGATGCACTTAATGGCCGAAATGCGCCAGCAAGCAAAGCGAAAACTGAAGAGAATTTCGGCCAAGGAGAGGACTCGAATTATAGAAAGTGTTCGCATTTACTCCTTCGACGAGCTACTTCGTCAACACATTCGGGCCGTCGCTGCATCGCGGGGCGAATATGACCCTGACACTGATTCAACTGCAGAAATGGATGACCTGCAGGTTTGTTTTCTACTAGTACTTTGGAATTTCGCTGCTATGGAAGTGTGTCAGTTCTAATTTTCCGCCTTATCATATAGGTAAATGGTCTGAATTCAGAAGTACCTATTTACTTTAGGGTGGTCCACATGCGTCTTTATTTGCTAGCGATTAATGACGAATGCCTGCAATTTCTTCAGTTTACTACAATATCATTAGCCGACTGAGGTTTAGACGGGAACTAAAATTACTTATTGGCATGTATGTCATAGGTGTTTCTCGTATCATTTTAAAGCGTATTCAAAAATTTTCGACGTTTATTTGGTTTGCAGCTCGTGAATTTCTGTTCTCAGCCCGGAGGAGTAAAATACGTCTCTTGTCTTCCATGTCATATCATCACAGACATGGGGGGTTTGCCCACCTTTCGAGTCACCTCTAAATCTCTGCTTTTTATTAGGCGGAAGATACGGACTTGTCATATTCGACTTTTAAATGCAGTCCAAGAGGTTCACTTGTTGCTTGCTTGTTTTTGTCGCGAAGGGTTGTAGTATCATTTAAAAAGGAGGCACTTATTTAGTTTGTCGAACCTTGTTTTGTTTAGCTTCTAGCCTATTTCATCACAAAGTACTCAACCTGGTGACTGAGCGGCTACTAAAGGTATCTGCTGACTTCGATCCATTGTGGTGATTCATCTTGTAATTTCCAACACGTAATTTTGAATACTGGGTATTCTTTCTACCTGCAAACGGTTTACAGGGAAAGATATTTGTATCCGTTTTCATTTTATCTCACATAACCCATGGAAATGTAAAGCTACTTATATCTCTTTGGAAAGCAATCACAAACTTAGCTCTGTAGTACTTTCCTAGCTGCTTTGAAAGGGAGTCTTTTGCTAGGCTTTTGAGCGGTTCTTATTTGTTGCTGCAATTTAACAGCAAAAAACACCCATTTACATTGAGAAGGGATCTCGATCAGTCGTTCATTTCTCTCCGATGTGAAAATTTATCATTTGTTATTGATATAATATTAAGCAGTTGACCTTTTGACGGAAAATTGATGTTTTTACTCAATTATGCCTAACTGAAAAGGGTCCCATTCCATTACACCGAAGTTTAGCACCAAGAACAATGCGAGTGTGGGAGGCTTTTACTGATTTCTGTACGTTGCGTGATTTTCCTGTCATCTCGCTTTGTGCTTATTCTCTATTGCATCTTCGTAGAAATTTAAGTGCCCCATATTTTCACCCAGAAATCTCAAACTGAGGATGAAGGAGGCACAAAAGGCAGTGCTTCCAAAGCAGATGAAGAAGAAGACGACGAGGAGGAGGATGAGGAAGATGACGATTTGATGCGTCTAGTGCGTCGTCAGCGCGAGGCCTACACTGCGAGGGTTGCCGCTGGACGTCCGAGCATTCGTCGCGGCCTCACTGCAGCCGGCAGCAGCGGCACCGTCGCCACCTCCGCTCTTAACTCGTCGATCGTGCCGACACCGATCGCTACTGCGGCGTTATCAAAGAATGAGCGCCTCTATCGAAGCCTAATTCGCAAGTACATCGGCAAGGCTGCACGCCAGAGAGCAAATATTAGGCGAGATAAAATTCTTATGGCCAGAAAGGCTGCTAGGGACTGCGCAAAGGCTGTACGGCAGCGTCAGGCTCAGAAAACATCGAAGGACTTCGCTTGTAAGTCTACTTCGGGTCTTTATATGACCTTGGTGTTCATAGCTTAAATCACGCGGTAATAAGGGCTGTTGGATTAGTAGTGTGGACAGCATTATCGCAGTTGTGCTTAACTTGTTTGGCCAGAAAGATATGGCTTACCCATATTGTTCAACCGATGCGTATCATCTGCTTTGGGTACATTCATTTGAAAAGGCTGGTAGATTATTACACCGAGTGTTTTGGGTTTTCTAAGGACGTTGAGAGAGATTACGAGTGTCTGGCCCTTCTCGCCTTAGTTTGTTTTAACGTTGTTTTTGGTCTCTTCGGGTATATGCACCATTTATGTACAAGAACGGTATATTTTCACGCACTTGAGCTATGCAACTCAGGGGTTAGTGACTAATAAATTAAATAGAGGAGCTGTGAGGCTAGAGGGCTGGTCAGCCTTATCGGAAGTGTACATAACTGGCTTTCTTGTAGGCCATCTGTTATTTTGCTGTTATGACGCATGAGGAATTCAGATTTTTAACTAGATAAGTAGGAGGAGGCTGCGAATTAGGTAGCTTAGGAAGTTTTATTAGCTTTTGTTTTGACTACTGTTGTGGTTTCTTTACCACGATTTAATTATTATCTTTGTACGTCCTCCGTTGCGTCTCTTTTCGGACAAACAGCACTGTGACAATTCATTTGACAAGTATCACAGGAGGCTGATACTAAGTATTCGTTACCCCGTCCCTACTCCTCCATTTTTTCATTTGGCAATTCGGTGTTGACTGTTGATCTATCTAGAAATATAGGATATCTCAATCTCCATACCGATTATACCTTTTTTATTAATTTGCTTTTCTTAAGTCATAAAGGCACCATATTTAGGATACCTCCGCACCGATTCCGACATGTTCTATCCAAATCTTACTGTTTTACTGACTACGGTGTAAAGTGACTGATGCGTTCGCTATCAACATTTTAGAGGAGTATCAAATACCGTGACCCAAACGGGAGGAAATTTTGTAAAAAAAAACCGTGGTTGTTTTAACCATGACCAATTTGTTTGTAACATGATTTTGTGCAGTCAGTTATTCTGAGCTGGTGGGCGTAAATGTCACACAGGAGCAAACCTTGTGAAATACTTATCACAATGTTTTGTACATCATCGTGGTGTATTATTTTCCAACACAGCGTACTAAATGTGGTGTAGCGGTCATTCCAAACGTGGGGAGCTGCAGATTGAGGGTTAGAATGCTACGAAGTGGAGCTTTTCCCGTACTTTTTAATCAAAGTATGCAAGGTAGCTTTTTTACTCCTAACTCATTGTGCGGTAGTTTTACTACCCTTTGAAATTCACTAATTTTTGGAATTTTTTTTTAAACCTGAAGAAAACGGAAGTCCTTCTCATTCTCCCAAACGCATATACGTTCGTAAATCAGTAAACAAAAATTGAGAGGAGACAATCAAGAATGATGCGATTTGCGCAACCACAGTCAACAAACGAAACGTTGTATTCTGTCAAAATTTCAATTTGATGTATTTTACGGCGGAACTTTTGTAATATGCATTAACATGCGACTTTTCTCCATGTCTGTTTCTTGGTAGCTTTTACGAGCCTCTTTCGTGAACTTTAAAGGGGTTTTTTCGGAGTTTTGCAGCTGCCGTACTTCATTATTTTTCTCCACTTTTTCATTCAATTAAACCTTCGCGGTGGGAACAGTACTTCTATTTAAAACGCTCCATAGATTTCTCATTCAATCAATTCCATAGTTGTGGAATCTGTAGTTAGTCCGAAACCTTACTGTCATTATCATCAGTGCCATTAGCCAAATAGCACGTGGTGAGTGGAATCTTTACAATTACCTAGTTGTAGTTTGCTTTCAGGAAATAGAGGAAAATCTGTCCCCCTGATCGGCTAACGTTTATTGGTTAATCTTAAACCAGATCGTGCACGGCGATTAGTTCGTGAGATCTCCGCCTATTGGTGCGTTCGTAGCGGCGGTGGTGTTGGCAGCGCCACTGTCACTGGCAGCGGCATTGGCGGTCCGCATATAGCGGGTGGCTCGGATGCCCGTGATGTCGAGACAGCGGGTGGTGCAGCGCCGGGTGCTGAAATTGAGTCGGCAGCAGCTGCGCGACGTCGGGCGGAGCGAGCATTGGCGGAGCAGCGGAGAGCCGATTTGGAATTGCTTGAGGCGCGTCGCCAACAACGCAAATTGAACTTTCTCCTCACGCAAACAGAACTCTACTCGCACTTTATGGCTAAAACAATGTCCGGTGGAGTTGCCGGTGGTGATGGTAGAGTGGAATCCATTCTTGAACGGCTTCAGGAAGTGCCAAAAGCTTCAGATGAGACTGGTAATACGGAATCCACTTTGGCGGAAGCTGCCAAAGCTGCGGCAGGGAGACTGGGCATCAATGTGGATGACGAGTTTGGTAGGGGACTGCGATTCTTAAATCTACATGTCATTTTATTTTATCCTAATACCTGCCGTTTCTTCCAGATGCGGAAGCATTGAAAGCCCAAGCACTATCACGTGTTCAGACAGCGATTGAGAGAGAAAATCAAGCAGTAAGTTGTCAAAATACTTTTGAATCATTAATTATCTCTATTTAGAGAGCAGAATTCGGTCAAGGCGGTCAACATCCTGTGGAAATGGAGGTGGATATTTCAAAACCACCGGCGCTATTCAAGGGCGATTTGAAAACCTATCAATTAAAGGGGTTGGCATGGCTACTGACTCTCTTCGACCAAGGCATAAATGGAATTCTTGCCGACGAAATGGGTCTTGGAAAGACGGTTCAGACGATTGCTTTTTTAGGCTCCCTTGCTGAGGTACGTAAGGCATGGTTTGAAGGCACCACCTCAAATTTCTAGCCTCAATTGAGATGTTTGTTTTCCTTGAGCATCCTTATATTTTTTCACAGTTTTATGCTCCCACATCTACATGTTTGTTCTAACGCCTAAGTAACGCCTTAGATAGCTTCAGCACTTCTGAGCCACACATTAGCACAACTTGTCTCGCTTTGCCGTCGGTGCTGAAATGCCAGCTTCCGAGGTACCCGAAATTGCGGTCACTCTTCCTCCAGAATGAATAGTCCCTTGTGCGTATGGCATAACAGATTATTCATAGAGTGTATGGGACTCGATACGCCGTGCGACTGCTTGACTGTGGTCTGAAAGTCACTACAGCCGGGGTCATTACCGGAAGACGTGCGGCCGCCTTTGAAACACTTGTCCTATGTTGCTGCTGTTCAGCGTCCCGTCACCGTACCAATCTGTGCTTGAAGTCTCATTTGAGTGGGATTAGTGGCGAATTTGTTGCTTCACTGTACTCTGTTTTGTTCGCGATCCACCGCATTTTCCAACCTTATTGAGTAGTGATACGCATTTGTCACTGTGATACCACCGCACTGGCATCATTTTTTGCGCGTGAATGGATGGAAAGGCTAGAAGATTTAGTGTCACGGAAGACTAAAAGGGTTCACGTGGTTGCAAAGGTAAATTGAATATGAATCTGTTTTAATATCACAATTCCCTGTGACGATGTGATCCACGAACACATCCCTTGAATGTTGATTGGTAGGTAATAAATAACCCAAAATCGAAGAGTAAAGTAATTTGGAGAGCTGCTTAAATTTTGCAAGCTGCATTGAAAGTGAAATGGTCCCATTGAGGCTTGTTTCCCTCTCCTGTCACGCCTTAAAAGGTATGCTTGACATACTGTCTAAGCTGAGACTGAATCCACACACCAAGCATATGCCACGTTTTCTCATCAATTTATGATAGTCAGTTGCACCACATCTTACAATGAAGCAAGTAGATGAGGTTAAAGTATTAAATGACCCTAAGATGTTCCTGCTCTAAGTACAGGTAGATTTCACTCTTTGAGCGGCAGTTGAATTGTTCATTCCAGCAGCACACATACCGTCTCCGTACTGAGACAGTAAAATAATTTGATTGTAGTGATCAAACGTGTTAATCCTACTTTTTCTTCCGCCCTAAATGAAGCGTTACAATCTGTGGGGTCCCTTCCTCATCGTTACTCCCGCCTCAACACTGCATAACTGGACGCAGGAATTCTCCAAATTCATGCCCGATTTTCGTCTGGTGCCCTACTGGGGCTCTCCAGCCGAGCGCAAGGTACTGCGTCGCTTCTGGTCTCCCTCTGCCGCATGCTGCTATGGTAGTGGTCTCCTGGGCACTCGGGAGGCGGCTTTTCATGTAGTGGTGACGAGTTACCAGGTTGTGCTGCAGGATGCAAAGTTCATCAACAAAACTGCGTGGACGTATATTGTGTTGGATGAGGCGCATGCTATTAAAAGCACTGCTAGGTATGTCTGCTCTCTCAAACATCGAATCGTTATTTTTCTCCACTCTGAAACTTGATCATCGCAGATTCTATATTTTTTATTATAATTACAATATAAATACTGGTGATGTGGTGATTGTTGTTGACTTAAGCAATACAAATCGGTCTATTGACCCATTTACTCCCTGTACTTTCTGGTCTTCCTGGAAGAAAAAACAAACATGGGGTTGTTTGTCTTCTGCTATTTTTTGACACCATTGGCAATGCTCGTCTCTAATCAAGTTTGCCTGGTAATTGTGACAACTTTGAGGCTCGTTAGACATGCAATATTTAATTCTGACCTCGCCGTGACTTCTTTTGGTCATCTATCAGTAGCGTTGTGGTTACAAAGTAATGCAGTCTGGAAGTGTTCATTTTTTATCAAAATACATCTTCAGCAGAATTATGAGGGTACCTAGGGGATTAAGAAGCCCGCGCAGTTTAATTACCAAGTCCTCTCCTCTCTTTGGAGTGTCGTCCTCGATGCTCCTCGTGTTCACTCTTCCATTTTGATTTTTTGAAACCATGTCCAAATGTATTGAAGCTGGTCACGAGATAGAAGGAAAGAAGATAACGGAAAAAATTTCCCCTGATTTTAAACTTTACTTGGGGGTAGATTGATTCGCCATATCTCGTCAAAGGGAAGAGCGCTTTTCCTTTGCAGACTCTTCTTCCAGAGCAATACTATTCAAGATAACGTATATTACCATGCAGTTTTGTGGGTCCATGTTCTGTATTTGCTCCTTCTTACTGATTTAATGCCACCCAACCGCCTATTCGAGTTCCTTTTGGCTTTTAGTATAGTAGGAGGGGGAGACTTCGAATCCGTCGTGTAAAAGCTACTTACGTACTGTTTCCACCCGTCCAAACTCAGCTTTGCTTCATAACGAGCCCGACATTACAGATTCGACGTAGTTTCGATAACTCTCCTGTCGTGATCTACAGATCCAACCGCCCCCAATAAATGCCTTTATATCAAAATCGCTAGTGCTGTCCCCCCTATAGAGCTCACGTTACCCTTAAAGACGTTGAAGGGTGTGGGTTTATAGAAATAGCCATGCGGTAAGTGTACAGAAGGATTGCAACACTGGTAGCAGCCTTGGATAACCATCGTGGAATTTGAGTCATGTAGGATTCGGAAGATTCGCCTAGTTGTTTTGAAGCACCACGCCAAAATGCATTCACTTTCACTTAATCACGGTGCTAACGGCCTCCTCCCTCGCCTTCTAGTTTACGATGGCGTCTTCTGCTCTCTTTCAAGTGCCGAAACCGTCTCCTACTCACTGGAACACCCATTCAGAACGCTATGCGAGAACTATGGGCCCTCCTGCATTTCATAATGCCCGCACTCTTTGACTCCCACGACGAGTTTGCTGATTGGTTCTCCAAGGACATTGAGTCACAGGTGGTGCTTTTTTATTGCCTGCCTAGTCATGTCAACCAAGTGCCTGATTTAGGTATGGCTTGTTTATTTTTTGTTCCCTTAGGCGGCTAGTGGTGGCGGTGGTGATTCAACCGGTGGTGGTGGTGGTGCCGTAACAACATTGAATGAAAACCAACTCTCTCGCCTACGGCTCATCCTAAAGCCCTTCATGCTTCGTCGGGTAAAAGCGGAGGTGGAGCATGAAATTACTCAAAAAGTGAGTTCCACGATCATCGGTGATGCATTCACATGCCCTCCTAACACGTTTAAGTCACATCGATGCTTTGTCTACTTATAGACAGAAGTTTTAATCTACTGTCCCCTGACAAGACGTCAAAGCCTCCTTTACAATCGACTGAAGAGCAAAATCCGTATTGAAGACCTTAACGCTAATGACAGCTTCACAATTCGCAATGGTGGTGGTGGTGGCGGTCTTCAAGACACGAACGGTCAACAAGAGAGCAATCGTCTCATGAATCTGGTCATGCAACTACGGAAGGTCTGCAACCACCCTGATCTCTTTGATCGTCGTGACGTCCGGTTTAGTTGCGCTTCCGTTCGTCCCTTTGAAGCCTCAGGAGCAAATGGGTTCTGGTGGGTTCCAAAACTCCTTTTCGATGAGGGTCTCGTTTGTGGACAAACGTGGAGATGCCTTCCAGGCAACATTGATCTTGGTGCATTTGAGGAGAAGATGTGTTTAATTTTCAAACACTTTCTCCTTAACCAACCAGCGCTTTCATTCGGGAAGGGTCTCAAGGAGGTATACCAAGCTCCTGAAAGGTCAGATGCCGTTTATACTGTCACAGCAGACAGTATTGCTTTCGAGGTGGATGGAGAGTGTCGAATTTTACCTCTACGGCAGTCAAATGTTGGCGAGAGGGTTTCACCGACACGTATTCGGTATCCTGAATTTGTATACTCAGCATTTATGCTACCAGTGAGTTTTTTTTCTGACAATTGACGGGGGTCGTTCAGTTCAAACCGGTACGCAGTTTCCCGCTTCTACAGGTGCATACATATTCCAGCATTTATTTGGTGACTAGAAGGCGTCTCGACCTCGAAGCACTTGTCAGTACGGCTGAAGCATGCGATGACAGCTTGCTCCACTTTGCCATTGGTGCTGGAGTACTGATCTCCCAGGTACTCTTTTAGTGCCCCACTGGTGAAATTTCCTTCTGAGGTGCGAACTGCACTGGAGGATGAAGCGGGTTCACCATGTCTTGCGAGCTAATTATCCAGAATTAGGCATTCCACATGTCGAATGTTCACGGGAATGCCAGCTTTGCTGTGGCCTGAAAACCACTGCGGCCAATACTATCACTAATAGGCGCGCGGTTGCCTTGGCAACGCTTGTACCATTCCCATACATTACTGCGGTCGAGCGATCTGTGTTTGAAGTCTTATTCGGTTATAATTATCGGCGAATTCGTTGCTTTGTTCTACAAAATGCCTCACCACATCCTGTTATGTGCATGAACCATCTCAGCTCCCCGCCTTGTTGAATAACGGTGGCTGATCAGGACCGCTCACAACAGATGCGATGGGCTGCTGGTGCTCGTAGTGGGAATCACTGGTCTTGTATAATGAAATTGGAAGTCCCGGTTTGACTGGAACCACCTTGTGATGTGCTCAACGCTATATTCTTATTTTAAAGACATGAAATTCACTTCCCTCCATAGGGTTACGTGCGTCCCCTGCGCTTGTACTGCTCTCAGCCAAATATCCTGCCACAATTGAAGCTTGCTTGGGAGCCATTCTCCTCCCCGCCGGCGCCTCCATCCCTCTCTCTCGTTTCACCGGGCTGTCTGATTGCGGACTCCGGAAAATTGAAGGAACTCGATCGTCTGCTTGCAAAACTCAAACCAGAGGGACATCGTGTGCTCATATACTCGCAGATGACAAAGATGATCGACTTGTTGGAGGTGGGTCTATGTGCATTTGTTCTTTTTTTGCAAGAAAATCCCCCTCCTTGATGGTCTTTAAAAGTGACATACCTTGCTCCCATAATCGAGACATTTGAATGAGAGGAATTTTTCAGGGGACTTGGGATTTTATTAGCCATTTACAATACCTTGTGGTTATTCCTGAACGTCTTATAGAGCGTTTTAGTTTGGATACACCTTTGTTGTTGACGTAGCAACTGGGACGACTAGCGTAGTAACGTAGAATTTAAGTACTCTGCTACATCGTACTTTCCCTAAAAGTGCCAAAGTATGGTCCAGACGGATCAAATGAGCTCTAGTGTGCCTGGCTACATTAATGACCGATTTCTCCTTTTATTGTTACCTATTTAGGAATTATGGTAGCTCTAAACTAGGCTGTTTTGTCCTACAGGAGTTGATGCTCTACCGTGGTTACGCCTACCTTCGCCTCGACGGCTCGTCTCGACTTTCCGATCGGCGAGATATGGTGGCACAGTGGCAGACGGACTCCCGATGGTTCGTGTTCCTCCTCTCCACTCGTGCCGGTGGACTGGGCATTAATCTTACTGCTGCGGATACTGTCATCTTCTATGACTCCGACTGGAACCCCACTGTTGACCAACAGGCCATGGACAGGGCGCATCGTCTGGGCCAACTGAAGCCGGTTTGTCTATTTTTGCTTCATACATACCGGTTCATACCGCATCGGTTTGTCTGTTCACCTTCATTTCTGGTACTCTTCTGGTTCGACTGTTGCAAGTGTTCTAGCAGATCGTAGGCAAAAGTTTGATAAAAACGAGGATCATAATATGATTGCCCTTTATTTTATTATTGATGATAGCTTTGGATGTTGTGGAGCTGGATTCTTTACTATGAAGTTATCTCGGCTGCCTGTGGTACTAATAGCAAATCTGTCGGCTAGCTCTTTGGTGACACCCACCCTGTATCATCATAATGCAACTGCATTCCAGATCACCGTATACCGCCTGATCTCCAAGTCTACAGTTGAGGGTCGCATGCTCCAGAGGGCAGAGGAGAAACGTGCAATGCAGCGGATGGTGATCGCTGGTGATTCCTCCTCGGCCAACGCTACCGGTGATGGAACCGACTCTCTGATCCGTCCTGACCGCGGGGATCAAAACAAGATGACGCAATCGGAAATGGTCTCTCTCCTGTTGGACGACGAAGAACTGGCCAAAAGGTGGGTTTGGGGTCTTAAATTGACCAATTTTGTTCCTAATGCATCAGAATCATTGTGGATCGTCGCTTACCTGAGGCAATCTCGGTAGCCCTATCGGTTAAGACACTTTACCCAACAAGGGGATCTAGAATGCGCATTTAACTCATCCTTCTACAAATAGCCCTAAGAATTAGGTGATTAGCTCTGCGATTCCATCCGAAGGCAGTAATGAACCCGACTAATGCAACGTCCAAGTCGTTCTCGTAGCAGCTTAAGGTATTTAAACATTCCAAAAAGTTCCTCCGCCAGCTACTTCATTAAAAAGCTCGATCATCAGCCTAGCTGGGCTTATTCCATGTTTGGTTGATCGAAATATACAACGCCTTTCTTGGCGTTAAATGATGTTACTCATTCACTTGTCACTCCTCAACCAGGCCATGGGTCGTCGGAGTTAGGAATCTTTAAATTCTTTAAAAGAGTAATGCAAAGTATCATCTTTCATTCCTCTAGACTGGCACAGAGGAGGCGCAACCAACCGCTTCGAGGCAGGCCCCCAAATAATAAGAAAGTGGATCCAGTGGTCACCACGGACGGTGGTGAAACCACCCAGGCCTTTGCTACGCCCTCTGTCGACTCTATTCTGAGCCGAAAAAGAATGGCTGCTTGGGCCGAACGAGTAATTTATCAATAGTAGATTATACATCTAGTCAAACTTTATCAACTCACCCCTAACCACCCACTTTTTTATTTTAGTCGAGGGGTCGCTTGAAGAAACCAAGAATTACAGAATGATTTGCTATCGACTCCCACTTGATTCCTTGCTTGAATTGTGTACATGTCTTTCTCCCCCTTCCTCTTCTTTCTTGTCAAAAAAATTTGTAAGAACATGAGTACTTTCTTTTGGTCTCAACATTTATACATGGGAGAGAAGGGGGGGGGGGACAAACCGTCCCTCGCTAAGCGAAGGGGACTCCCGCCTTTCGAAAAGCGAGCAGTAGCCGTAGTAAATCGTCCTCATCCATACTTCTAGCTCTGGACGACTGGAATCCAGATTTTTGAAGAATTTGACGGACCTTCGTATGCATCGCTTCTAAACCGGTTGAACCCTCTTCAGCAATTTCCGGGGGATCCGGGGAAGACGATTCACCAGAGTCCTCATTCTGTTTCTGGAGAAGGGAAAGGTAGTTTTTGCGAAGGGAGGCTGTAATCGCGTCGCTTTTAAGATTTGACGCGATGGTCTTGTTCTTCCGATGGAAAACTAGGCGCAGAAGACCATCCCATTCGGCGAAGGAAACTGGCGGTTTAGGGTGACGGGGTTCGATTCGAATTACGGAAGAATCGACGCGGGGTGGCGGCTTAAAACTATTCCGGCTGACCTAAAGGGTGTCCGTTTGAAAATGGACATCGGACGTACTTTGATTAATTGGGCGATTTTGAAATGAAATTGAGCGTTAGCTGAAAGACGACAGTAGATTTTTGAGCCAGCCTGAGCTAGAAGCCGATCAGCGAACTCTTTCTGAAGCATCACAACGGCGGCGCGGAAGTGATGTTCAACGGTGATCAAACGACCGATGAAAGGGGACGAGATTTGATAGGGCAAATTGGCAACACACAAATCGAACTTAGGCCAATTTTTCGCCTTGATTACGTCACCAACTGTTATCTCAAGCTTTCTGCGGTAAGGACTACCAAAAATGTCTTCTTGCGTGCGCCGATAACAACAAACAAGAACAAGTAATAGATATTGCACTTACGTATTCTGGACCCTTTTCTGGAGTTCAGCAACCATCCTGGGATCCAATTCGAAGGCACAAACTTTCCTGGCCCTTTCTAACAACTTCATCGTAAGATTCCCTGTGCCAGAACCGACTTCGAGAACCGTGTCAATAGACTTTACGCCAGCCTTTTCAACGATGCTTTGAATAAGGAGTGGATTCTTGAGAATGTGTTGGCCTTTACTGCGTTGAAAACGAATTCCTCCTGTCTTTACGGCCAGAGCATCCTTATCCTTTTTGGAAGACGGCCTCATGCCCGTGAAGTCAAAAGTCCCACTGGAATGTTGATAGGCTCTAACAAACGGTAAATTGTAAGACGCATTTGCAAAAGGCTTACATTATGGATAGAACAAGCACAATGATACCGAAAGAAAATTATTTACGCAAAACTATAAATTCGGTAAATGGTAAGAAGCATCCTTGCAATTTTTAGAGCAAGTTATTCTATTAGTTGAAATATAAATATTGATATCTCGACGTGCGGTATAGACTTGTATATCTTTTGGCAAATTAAACTTTTTATGTTTTTACAAATCTCTTTGTAAGTGATTTTTATAACTTTTGGAGGATAAATAATAAACTCAAAAGCACTTATTATGGTATACCTAAATGCGATTTCATTCAATAGGCTAGCAGAGCAAAATCCATACCATATGCTCGAAAACCTCATTATTATCGGTACCAAAGTGAAATAGTTTGCCACCCAATTTCAAAATGATTGTGCCACCTACTTAAATAAATTCTAGCCTGCATGCAAAATTTGTACTTTAATATTAAGAAAGTACCTTACTCTTGCCTAGGCACCATTTCGTAGTTAGCGTTGCTGTAGTGTGGCGATTTGAGACTTCTCCGAAGACGAAAGACGACTTAATCCTCAGGCACAATACACATATTCGGCATACAGATGGTACTAGGACTACTGGCACGGCCCAAAAACCAGCTTACCTGACATGGTATAGTGGCCAAGTCCAAAGTGGCTCCTCTGAAAGCCGAGAGACGAAAAACCATTGTATTGCATAGCTCCTTTCCCTTCCCGCGTCAGCCACCACAACGTAGTCGGTGCTGTAATGAATCACTTGCGACCTGGCCTTGCCAGCCACCAAATTTCCATGTAACTGAAGAGACACTTGACCTCATCGTCACTGATCCCTCTCGGTACACTAACCTAAAAGCAGATTTGCGTAAGGAAGGGTGGGATTTAACACAGGTCCTCGGGGAAGTAATTCGCGTCTGTTCCCATTTGTCATATTGTTCCCACTTTAGAGCTGCCCAAGCTCTTATCAGCTAGTGAGTAAATGGAAAAGGTATCGCAACTTTACTTCATCAACAGCTTTATACAGGTACAGTGGGGAGCGTCTGCTTAGCAGCTTCCAGATGCTTCGCGGTTAGTGGCCCTTCAGTTGTTCATAACTTTCTGGCAGAACACGGGGCAGGAATAGATACCGAATGAACGCCGTCAGCTTTAACCCTTCTATTAGGGGTCATCACCATTTTCCCATCCGTAGCGTATGTACTTGCGCTCCGCTGAGGTTTATCATGCAGCATTTGAAACTATGGTAGATGTACTTTAGGATCAGGTTTGCTTTTTCGTTGCCACCAATGCAGCGTCTCGAGACTTTCCTGAAGACGAAAGAAGACGCAATGCTCGGACAGAGTATATATATTCGGCACAGGGAAGGCAATTGGTCTACTGACATGGCTTGAAGGCCAGCCCACCGGGCGTGGTACAAAGGCAGGTAAAAAAGTCAAAAGAGGCCTTGCGCTAATATATAGGAATAAACAACCACCGTGCCACATTATTGTGCAGGAGAATGCACCATAAACTTACACTTGACATCTTTCCTCCTAATTGGCTACAATAAAGACCATAATTTTGCTTGCAGACCGCTTTAAAAAATATGTTTGCTAACCCCTTTTACCTGTTTTAAATTTTTAACCTTAGAGAAGCAAAAGCTTCTTAGATAAGGCACGAAAACACCCGTGTTTAAGTTAATCATAGCCGATAGGTCGTCTGCGACTCGGCCCCTATTTAGGAGATCGCCGCTTGTGTGATTCGGCCTCTGGTTACTGGCGTGATCTTTCGTAGTAACGATGCAAGGACTCTTAAGACGTGCTGTGACAGCTTCCAGGTTTCTTGTAGTATGTTCAAACATCCGCACCCGTAATTATGTAGGCTCAGCCAAAACGCTTTTTGAGGATTCACGAGTACAGTGCTATGGGTCTCCTGGAAAAAGCCAAAATTGCTGTGCCCAATTTTCGTATTGCAACGAATATGGAGGAAGCTTCAAAGGCTGCTGATGAGATTGGTTCGTTGTGTTTTTTGTCTATACCTTCCTTATTTAGCCAAGCTCTCAAGCAGCCCGGATTTCGTCGTCAAAGCTCAGGTTCTCGCCGGTGGTCGTGGGAAGGGTGTCTGGGATAGTGGTCTAAGAGGTGGTGTGAAAATAACATATAGGTATTTATTTGTTTTGGTTTTATCGTAGTGTGTTCTTTTGTGCAATTAATCCTTCTTTTTTGTACTTTATAGCAAGGACGAGGCTCTCGATGTCTCGAAGCGTATGCTCGGTCATCGAATTTACACGAAACAAACTGGTGAAGCTGGTACAGTTTGCTCTGCTGTGAGTATCGTCGAGCGAAAATACCTACATCGGGAATTCTACTTTGCCATCGCCCTTGATCGTGTTTCTGCTGGTCCGATTATAATCGCCAGCTCTCAGGGTGGCGTCAATATTGAACAAGTCGCGGAGGAAACACCTGAAGCTATCATTAAGGTAAGACTATGTACATGATGCAGAGGAGTGTTAACCCAGTTCTTCAAAATCTTGGAAAATAATCTTGCGTCTCAATATACCACCACGAACGAATGTGACCTCATTGTCCAAACGCAAAATGCGAGAGTGTGCTGTACCAGCAAGCTATGTATTGATGTTAATCACATCATTTTCGTCGCAGATTCCGGTCGATATCATGGATGGTCTGTCCATGGAAACAGCCAAGAAGCTAGCCGTTGATATGGGTTTCAACTCGACCGAGACTCAAAAAGAAGCTGCTGATACTTTTGTGAAACTCTACAAGCTCTTCACTGATACTGATGCCACACTGGTGGAGATAAATCCAATGGCTGAAGACAATGTTGGTAAAGGTTAGTCGGCCATCGTCCTGGCTCCTTATTTCAGTTTCTGTTTCTGATTTTTTTTCACCTCTCTTGTGTAATAGTTCTCTGCATGGACTGCAAAATGACTTTTGATGACAACGCGGAGAAGAAGCAGCCAGGGATTTTTGCGCTTCGAGATTGGTCTCAAATGGATGAGCGAGACGTGCGAGCAGCGAATGCTGATCTCAACTATATCGGCCTTGATGGCACCATCGGTTGTCTTGGTACGCAAGTTTATTCGTTCGGATTGGAATAGGTAATGGGTTTGGGTTTTTTCTTCAAAATTAGCAACCACTATCCTATGAGTCTGTTTCGAACCATTTTTCATTGGGGAAAGGGGCCAAATCGTATTTTTAATCCGCTCTCATATTTTTAGCCTATTGATTCAGCATATTTTACTGGAGCTCCACACTTTTGCTGATGTTCCATGTCTTATATCCTGGTTTCTGGTCGTATTCTTTGGTTAACGACGAATGGATATCACAGAATGAACTTAATTTTGTCTGCCTCCTATTACGAACTTCACAGTCCATCACGAGATTATGCATATAGATGAATTAGTTCCTATGACTTTAGAAATAGTGCGGAGCTGCGAGGGCATTTTTACCCAAAAAACTTATTTTATAACTACATCTGCGTATCCATAATTGTTCTGTGTTACTGGAAGGCATTATTGACCTATTTTTTATTGCGGATTGTGAGAAGAGGTCATGGCGGAACCGTTGCTTTGGCTACAGATTTTGTCGCCTTTCGGGAGGTCACTTTTCGGATGAAAGCTCGTTCATTTCATAGTATTGAGGGGTTTACTACTTTTTAATGGATTTAGAGTGGGCCTGTTTGTTTGAGTAATCCTTTTGCTACATTATAATGTAAAACATATTCACAACCTCTTGATAAATCGTTGCGGCTTTAAGTTCATGATGAATAAAGCATTTACCATGATCAGTGAATTTATTTTGCCCCTAAAGTCCCTTGTTTTTTTATCAAACAGGCTTTCTTTTGTCTTAGTGAAAATGGCGGACTTGTTTACTTAAAGGCCTCTTTAAAATGTTAGCAGCAAGTCCCTGAATTTGTGTGTTTACGACAGGCGTTTGATTAACGTGCTCGTACTCTTTGAAGAAAGCTACAGCGTGTGTTTAGTGGACGGTATCATGTTTTGGTTAGTCATTTAGAAATAACTGCTGTGCAACTTTTTTTTAGTTCGTTGATTCAACAAGCAGCCAGTCATGGTGCATTTCAAGCGACCTTATTTATTCGGAATTTCGATTCGGTTGACCTCCATTGCACATAAAAGGCTAGTGTTTTTCCACACTTTACAATTGATTAACGATCTATTTCATTTGACACCCAGTTTTATGTGGTTTTTACATAGCTTGCGAAGTTGGGTGATAATTTGATCTGCCGAGTTTTCGGGCCTTAAAGGTGGTGTACGCGTAGCCTAGGTTGCATTACAGTCATCGTCACATTATTTTCCTACCACTAAGCAGATACTTGTCCTTAGGATCAGAATGTTCCACTCAAAGTGCTTAATCTTCTCCCCTATAAAGCAATTGCTCGATTCCATCAAGGCTCACAGTCCAACTTTTAGGCGGTCGCACTTTGTTTTGGGGTTATATTGCGTAAATTTGTGGTTTGATGACGTTATTCTGCGCGGGTGTGAGGTTACCCTGTACGGAAAATTAGGACTGCATTTTCTCTCTCCGACAGTGAACGGCGCCGGTCTAGCTATGGCAACAATGGACATCATCAAGCTGTACGGCGGCTCACCTGCCAATTTCCTAGATGTGGGCGGTGCGGCGACGACGTCGCAGGTGAACGAGGCCTTCCGTCTCATCACCTCCGATCCCAAGGTGCACGCAATTCTCGTCAACATCTTTGGTGGTATCATGCGCTGCGATGTCATCGCGCAGGGCATCGTTGCTGCCGCCTCTGAGCTTAACATCAAGGTGCCCCTGGTGGTGCGTCTGCAGGGTGAGTAATGTTGGCGTTCGAGCGGATACTTTCAGCAGTAGCTTTATTATTGGGATATCACTCTCAGGATCGAATTAAAGGAGATTCCAAAGGCCCGCTACGCAGTTGACCACTTTAAACCAAAGCCTTAGTTGAAGTAACTTAGAAGATTAGTAGGAGCAAAGTTGAAGGTCTTGTCATTTCACCGTCGTGAAGATAAAGTTGTTCTTGATGTTTCCTCTGCTCACTTGATCAGAAAGCAGTCGTATTTCAAAATTACTTACGAGACAAAAATGGTGATCCCAGCTGTGAACCCCATTGAGGCTGAACGATGCTATGCAGCAAGCAAAGCCGTTGTAAATCACTTTTCACAGTATCCTTTGTCTTAAAGTCAAGATTACACACCTGCTTTCTGTACCCACACGTGATTTCAACTTACTCTCCATCCCAATGTTGTCCGGCTTCTTGCCACCCAAGGTATGCATTTGATCCTGTGGGCAGGGTTTCAGTTCTTTCAAATTTTGCCTTGCTCCAGTAGTGCTTGACTTGCAGAACTGGAGATCGGGAGTGGTTGCTGGGAGTCAACGCGATTTACAATACTTTTCTGCTCCGAGCCTCCACCTTTAGCAATACATAGAAGTTTGTCTCCTTCTGTGACGTTCTGGCTAGTTAGGATGTTGCTACCACCGACGCAGCGCTTCAGGTCATCTCTGAAGCCACAGTAGAGCCTAGTGCTCTGGAAGTTGCTCCATATGGGGTTTGGGAGAATAGCAGGCTGGAAGCTGAACCTTGCGAGACTGGAGTGATCCTTCTGCCCTCCCCTCCACCTTTGGTAAATCACCCCTTTCTTCTTTCCCTTTTTAGGCACCCGAGTTGATGATGCGAAAGCCATTATCGAGAGCAGTGGATTGAAGATTCTCGCTTGCGATGATTTGGATGAGGCCGCAAGTATGGTATGTTTGAGAGAGAGAGAGAGAGAGAGGCTCTTGTTACACACACACACTTTGATAGGCAAGTCTATTGTGACACGATTGATTAGCATCTATGGTAGAGATAAACAACTAGGGTGCTTCAAGTCTAGAATGTAAATGAAGGCGCTATTATTCGTTGGTAGACCCACCCTCGCTTCTAGCGACTGTTGTGAATCTATTTGTCTTACCTCTGGCTCACACATTCACACAAAGCAAATGAGGCGTCTGAGCTGTGTCAAGGTTTGCTTTTATCACATGAGTGATTTTGAATCAACTGCTTCATATTTGGCGGCGTGATGCAATATTCCCACTGTCTCACTTGCCGTTACCTTATCACCAGGGCTTGTGACTCTGTGATATTTTGCATCTGGTGGTACGACATGATCTGACACACTGACATCATTTCTCAATCCTGCTGTTCGTACTTTTTACCTCAAATATTCTCCACCATGGCGCGGAAAAGCTGCTTTTGTTTTGACAATTTAACTAGACTCAGGGTCTGTTAACCGATGAAAGGGCCAAGCCGTTTGAGCTGCTCTGTAGGTCTGGAAGTGTGAATCCATCTAATCTATTCAAAAAGATTTTGGCCTTCATCAATCCAAGTAATGTACCTCTTGTAGCATTGAGAGCCTAAATAAGGGGTGCTGCGGTATACCTCGTAGGCTTTTTTACACAGTCCCTGTGGGCGGCGCTTGCGGCGTTTTCGCTGCCTTGGCGTGGTGGATTTGCTGCGTGTGAACCTCCTGTGGCAAGATAGGCTCCAGGGCTTAAAAAGGAATCGGCGATCACCTGTTTGAATCTGCAATGCCTCTACATGCCCAATGCAGTTATTGTTTGTTGCTTGAAACAGATTGCATAAACACGATGCACTGGCATTGCACACGCTTGCTTAGGCAAGGTCGTGCGTCCGCACCGGGATTCTTGTCATTCTTGCGTGTGTGTGTGCAGTGCAGCTCTGTGTGGAAAAAAGGCAAGCACATCTAACGCTGTGTCAAATTCAAGTGCTTTCTTTTCCATCTTGAGACCTACTTATTTTCAACAACGGTTATTCACTAATCGAGGTGCTCGAAATGGTTCCACGTTGCTGGCCTGCTTCCGACTGAAATTGTAATATTCTTTAGTAGCGGTGTTTGACTGGTAGCTGCTGCCTTTTTACAGGTTGTGAAATTGGCCGACATCGTGGCCCTGGCCCGTCAGGCCGCCGTCGACGTGAAATTCGAGCTGTTGATGTAGGGAATGTTGCACTGAACTGCACTGCAGAAGGAATGCACACGCCTCCTGCCCCGTACTTTTTACTCATCATTCTCGCTGGAGATTGCTACTTTGCTACCAAAGCTGACGACGTCGAAGTCTGTAATGTCTGCATATCTCGGTCTTTTCTTTCAGCTTGCCTATCCCCTCTCCACCCCCCTTACCCTCCTCCTCCCTGCTTTGGATAGTTAGAGGCACGATAAATCAAATATCAAAGATGTATAGATCCATAGTCTCTGACTCCTCCAATAGACTACTAAAGCTGTGTGGATAGGTGGAACGCCCACAATCTTGGTGGTTAAGCTTGTATTAGTTAACCTCGTGGAGATCACCCGGGTGGAGTCGGCATGACCTTGTTTATCTTCTGAGGAGTCTCACGTGATTTCGGGGCCCTGGTCACTGCTGCCCGAAAGTGCCTACTCGGTGTGCACACCTGAAAGCCTACAAGGCGGTGGCGGTTCCAGTTCCGGTCCAGAACCGAAAAAAATTAGATAGCCATGTCCTCGCGGCGAACAGCAAGCCTAATTCTCAAGAGGGTTATAACATGTCCTGTGTTTAAACCACTAATCAAGCAAAGGACCAGTCTGAGCCCAAGCATACAGGCTAAGCTCTGCAGATGTGAACTGAGGCTTCAGAATGAATAACGCAGAAAGGAGCGTTCGACACCTCACTGGTGCAATAGAGTAGAGATGGAAGCGACCGGAACGGGACTCAGGGAAGACGATGGTATAGTTCCGCCCTTTGTGAAGTGCAGCTGAAAGTTCAGACATGAATTTGTCGGCGTACTACTCCATTCAGAGGCTCCGAGCTTATTTGCCGAGAACAAAACAACTTCCAGAGGGAAAAAGTCGACCTACAGGTCCCTTTGGAGCTTCCTACCCCGACGATGCAGGATTGATATCGAAATAGCCTTTAAAGTGCCATGACCGGATTCGTAAAAGCGGACCTAAGTACCAACCATTCCACCTTGGAAAGAAGTCAACGGCAAAACCAGACCGTAACCGCCATTCCAGTCAATGCCTTCTAGAGGCGGCATACACGTTGTGACTGGTGGACCCTGATGCGATTCCTCAAGTAAGTAGTAGAACTAAGGACTTATTCCAATGCTTTGTACCGAGTAACTAACGACAAAACAGGAGCAACAGTTCCTGAGCTGTTTACAAGCACGAAAATTAAAGACGTTGACAGAGCAAGAAATTCTACACACCTCATGCAAGGTCAAATTCCAATTGGCAACAAGTGCCTTAAGTAACTAACCCAAGTGTTTACAACTCCCTTGAATTGATTAATCAAAGCAGTTGGTGTCCCTATGAATTTGAACGGTGGGACACACCACCGAGACCGACGGTACAATCAATGCGCAAAACAGGCCCCTTGAGGTACGGAGGTCAAACACTCCGTGGTCGAACTACCCCCAGGAAATCAATCCAAAATTACCATCATGGCATTCACCTAACTCCCCAGTCAGATAGAAAACCGATGCATGACTTTAACATGGAATTATGCCCAGAACCTTGGAAAATGACTTTAAGGAAAAAAATGACAGTGTAACAGGTCAGAGACAATTTATTCAAATAAAACAAGCATCTTGTGAACCCACCACAACCTAGTGCAATTTACTCAAACTACCTGTTCTAAACATACCATTACACAGGCTTGCTCCCGATACCAAACTGGAAACGAATGACACCTGACAAACAGAAATAAATCATCAAATGGAGTGCAAAATGTATTAGCAAGACACCGAGGATGTCTAAATGTACCTCTTTCATGGAAGAGAGTCCAGAGGATAAACGTAACAGAAGGTATGTAAAAAGAGTTGTAGGTTTGATGATAACGAGTACTTGCAGTTCGTTTTGAAACCATTGAGGGCTCCTGTGAAACGAAATACGACTCCTCTTACCAACTTACGCTGAGTGCGCACAATTAGCACCAAGTATTGGACTCACAATAAAGAAATTGGGAGTATGAAATGGATTGTTGGTAGTTGGAGATCACGTCATCTAAATAGGGAGATAAGTGACTAGTGGAGGCTAGCCAGTACCGGGTCCTCCCAATTCTCGTTGGTCAGATCAAAACCGAGTGCAAAATTAAAATCGGATGACACAGAAGGAGACACACAAGCGGGATTAAAATCAAGGGCAGGATCGGGAGAAGTTGGAGCCGAAATATACGGCTGCCTTTGTTCAAGCATGAAGCATCTAGAATCAGGGTTATTATAATTAACAAGAACTTGCCTTGCAGATAACTCCTTTAAGTCAATCTGGGACTTCTCGTATAGCTTTTTGTAACGATAGTAGGCATCTTTAAACATTTCCAGTTGCAATTTCAACCTCTCTAATTCCAACTTCTTAGTTTCACGATACTGCCGAGCTGTGAGGGCTGCAACTGTCTTCTTCCTACTGGAGCAAGAAGCGGAAAAACTAAGGCTAAAACATAAAAATGCCAAACTCAAACCAACCCACGCCGCGCTGGATCCATGTCGAAAAACCGAAGGACGTCAATGGCGGAACGAATAAATTAAAAGATGTGGCAGTTAATTGCAACTCAACGGATTTATTTAAAAACATGAATAGCACAAAGTACTAGACGTCAGAACTGGTATATAGTACGGAAATGGAAAAAGTGGGAAGAGTTGCACCCTTCCATATTTAATAATCAGTCAAAGCAAAGTTCCACAAGAGTTTTTTGCTTTAAAACATTTATTTCTTAAACAGTTAAAATCTTTATATTTTTGCATTCTGGCATAAAGAACTGCAACAATATGGTTTTACAGTTTAATGCCGAATGGGGAAAGTGCGTCGTAATGCTGATGTACTAAACTG